TGATGCATAGTTTCTCACAGCGTAAAGACCTTTCATATTGTTAATAACATGTCTTAAATTAATGTTATTCCTTAAATTTAAACTGTCCGTACATTTCAAATTAATATCGTCGATGAATTTTGTAACGAAATGTACGAAAGTGTATAAAGTAAAATAAACTACCGCGCGTTGCAGGCAAGCGGTACATAAACGACGAACGCATTACATTGTCGAGCTGGTTTGACTTTTTCTATGTCTTTTTTGATCATAAAGCAGACATCAGATTACTAAACAGAATTTATATTAAGAAAAAGAATAATAAAAATGGCAATTAAAAATTAGAGATATTTAATTTATCTCGAAAAAAAAAAAAAAATAATAATAATGAGGAATAAAGAAAAGAAAAAGTCAGATTATATAATAATGAGTTTATCTACAGGTGGTCCATTTTTCGGTAAATGGAGAGAAAGTTACATCGATTTCAACAACCTGGCCATTTAAATGTCATGTAACCATTTCGGGTAAGCGACGGGTCTCCTTGGCGAAATTTGACACGTTTCCTCTCGGTTAAATTTCTCATTGGCTATATAAGATTATAAGACTCGCTCTCTATTAATATTTGTTTTCAATTATTATATAATTAATATAATAACACGTTCAAAATCTTTTAATTATTCTACTGTCATAAATATTTATGTATGGTGTATTTATAAAATAATTTATTAATCAATATTTTTTAGTAATTTTGAATATCTATTATTTTACTGATTGGAGCAAAAATATATTATCTTGTATATTTTAAATTTGTATAATTGCATTAAAAAATACAAATTAAACCAATCGCTGATTTTACTTTTCCAATATTAACATAAACAAAATTCACGTCATTGCCTTCCCAGGAAAGTAGTGGTCCACTCAAATTAAGGTTTCATCGATGCTAGCAAATTTGCAAGTAAAAAATATGAAAGGCTGCAAGATCGTAAAATTCATAAGATAATTTTACATGTTAATTCTCGCCAACCTCCAACGCAGAATTATTTATGAGGAAAGTTTCGAAAGATCGCGAGAGTTAAATGAAATATTAATTCGCGAAAACGCAAACTTGAAGAAAGTATCTATTCACAGTTATCGCATTTTTTAAAGAAATTCTTTACGATATGAATACTTCAGAAATAAAAATAAATTTACCAAGCAACGATATAATAATCGAATTTTGCACGTGAAGGATTTCGAGAGCGTACAGTTTGCTCGTATATTTTTTTATTTGACGAATCTTTTATTGCGTAAGAAGAGATCGAGTCATCTATGTACACGAGAATGTGCACTTGAAGGTGATTATGTAAGAATCGCTTGAGATACAGCTTCGCCATATTAGGATGCAGCTTCTCGCGTATCATTTCATCCATGCTCATCCTACCGTTACTCGCGAATAAAACTAAGAAAAAAAAAAAAACGAAGCGGAAGCATATAATTTCTGGCATCCTATAATTTATTACCTATAAAAATATTTATACTTTTTTTTTCTAATACCTATATAATTTCTCGACATTTTAATACTGTACACTCGCGCTTTTGTCTAAAAATAATTCGAGAAGAAGGGAATCAACGCGGACGCAAATTTATGCAGGAACGCCAAACTTATTTAACGTCGATTTAATATACGCTCATGCGAAAACCACCGACGCATGTTCCCCCGGCGCGACTGCCCACGATGGCTCGCGACGCCCACACCGGAGATCCACTAGAGAATTACCGGGAACCGCTCGTATACGGAGGTCAAAGACTCCCCCTTGCCTTATCCGACCTCGTCTTACGAGCGAGCGACGTCGGATCCGGCGCGAATTATTGTACCCTTCGGCGTGCCAGCCCTTAAATTATACGGCCCCTCTCGGTGTCAGGTGGTATACGTGCTGTTGCCATTGCACGCCGAGAGAAACTAGTCTCTTCCCCATCGTCGTCGTCGTCGTCGTTGCACCTTTATCCTTCCGAGGGCATGCGAGTGACGCAGAATTTTGTACCTCTGTCGCGGTTGGTAAATCAAATTGTCGGGTGCGATTGTAAAGCGAATTACCAAGCCGTACGGCTCACGTTCGAATGCAACGATGAATGCAATGTCGGCGAGTTCAATCTGTTGGGCCGTTAATGATATAATACACCGCTAATGGAAGTAGCTCATATCCGTCGTAATGAATAGTTTGTTGAGATGCAGACTCGCGAGAGTATACGTGCTTGCTTTCATTAACTTACAGTTACTTTAGTTTATGTGCGAAAGGAATAGAAATAATCAGTACATTAATATAATTCTCCATTATGACGTTTTTTTACCGGTCTTTTTTTTTCCTTAACCGGATATTTATCTTCGCTGCTATTTCTCTAAGTCCCATTCTCGATTAAGTTTACGGCGTCTAATCTACGTTATCATTGCGGTGATTATCGCGACCGCGTCTTGAACGCGTCTACCGCCGATACGGCGGAACGTGTTTCGCATCGCCTGAGGATCTTCTTCTCGGGTGTTATTATCGGTCGATCGAAGGAGCAAGCAATTCGTTAAAGAGTCAGCGGCTCGACATATATTTCGCATTCTACATTGCAGAAAAGAGGCGTCAGCTGCGAGCTACGTTGTCTCTCCTTTATTCTCTGCCCAAGATCGTATTAACCGAATGTGATTCACACAATCGCGCACACCCAATGATTACAGCTCTACCTTTGTGGGCGGTTCGTGAAATGTTCGACAGTACAAATTTATGCGAATGCCTTGCGGCCCGCGGGAAAAACCGACAATTAAAAATCCAGTGACGTGGGTGTTGCCTTATTATATCGCGATCTGGAGCTTATAATAATTCCGAACAAATTATTATAGAGTGTTTAATATAAATTACAATCTAGAGAATATAATTTTCTATACCTCGCAAAAATAAATTTATATAATTAAAATAAACGTCGGAATTATACGTTAATTTTTCTGATTTTCTATAATATTATACATATATTAGAGAATACATTTTTATATGGCGTTTATCAAAGTTTACGGTGAATTGATCATTGATTCGAATACAACGTATCGTAAGCGTGAGTACGCGTTGATAGTAGGCGTAGCGTATAAAGCTTATTGTTAATTTGATATATACAATAATTCGTTGCATAGGTTTTCGAATAACCGTCAATAGCCGGAAA